TAACATTAAATTATCAAAATGGACTAGGTCATAAACGGAGAATTAAAGCGAAGAACATAACTGTAGGTTTTTGAAAACTTAGGAACTAAGTTATAATTGTGCTGAAAAATGAGGGATGAAAAAATAATTTACTCATATTCTGTTATTTCTACTTCATCTCCATGAACATTCATAAATACCAAAAGATGTTATTTCTACTGCAGAGAAGCTTCATTGCTGATGCAAATTTTGGAGTCGTATTCTGATGTTTACTGTATTGCATCAACCACCCTTTGGAATCCAGAACATTAGAAACTCATCAGTAATGATTTTTTTTTTAAATCTGTTCTCAAAATTGGAAAAGTTAATTTGCCAACGTTAGCTCAACGGAGAAACTATGGTAGTTTCCAAGGTGCAATGCCCTTCTTTCCATTCTTTCTTCAATCTAAGCTTGATATGATGGCAGTGGCACGATAAGGCATCGAATCCAATTATCATAAACCCAAATCTTTTGGAGAAATTGGAAGCTTTTGTGTCGTCTTTCTTGGCTGCTGACCACCATGTGTATACATGATCATGAACCATATTAGTTCTCCAGTAGATTCCATTGTTAAGGTTTTGATTCTAACTTTTTTTTTTTTTTCATTTTCTAAATTTAAATTCAAATTCAGCATTGATATCCATTCCCAACAGATAAAGTTCAGAAACAAATCAATTCCATGAGATTGCAGAAGACTTGTGTTAATCAAGGGGAGCTTTGCTCCTGCATCCAAATATTGGTATATTGATGTCTGCAGTTGAGAGAGCCTGTAAATCGAGTTTCAAACTCCACTTTGAAATTGCCTAAACAGAGGAGAAATTACTGTTCTCCCGGTCGTGCAGATTTGGTGTGCTTGATGATTTACGAACTCCGACAGAATCATCAGCAATTATACAATCTCCCCAGCCCACTAACAGATCTCGAACCCCTTCCTCTAAAATGGACAACTCGAGCTTGTTAAAATGGAGAACAGTGAGAGAAAGAGACGAGAAGAGATGAAAGGACGATCAAACGAGAGGGAAGAGAAGAAAGGGTTGAGAGCAGAGGGTTGAATGACAAAGAAACGAAAAGAAAAGGGCTCAATGTTGAAGATTCGATCGGCAATAAGTGAACAGAGAGAAAATTGGGCTGATTTGGAGTGTTTTTTTTTTTTTTTTTTGGGGGTTTTTTTCATTTTTAAAAATTATTTTCTTAATTTCGAACAATAAAGAGAAAAAACGCGTGTCAAAATCCTATCTGACAAACAGTAAGATTTAATGCCGTTATCTAAAAAATTTGACGGAGGGACAAATGTTAGACACATAATAAAAGTTGAGGGATGAAGTTAAAATAAAAATTAGTATAAAGACATGATTAAAACAAAAATAAGAATAGAAGGACTTCTTCAACTATTAACCCATAGAAAGGCATTCATCTTAGCTGAGTGACCTGTTGTTACACTATTTTTTTTTTCACTTTTTTTTTGGCTTAGAGCTTCTTGCCATTTTTCTTTTGTTATTACTCATACTTTCTTCTGCATCACACCCCGAAAACAAAATTTTTTACTCATCAGTACTGCACTGCTATTTGTACATAAAGTGAGCACTAATCAAGTAAATTATAAATTAGTCTCTTTAATTTGCAATATATATATATATATATATATATATATATTTTAAAAACTAATTAATTAGTTTTTGGATCAGTGTGGATTATAGTTAAATTAATATTATTTTGTTTCAAAAAATATTTTTTTACTCATCAATATTTCATGTTTTTAATTATTTTTTTCTATTTATTAAAACAAAACAAAAAAAATTAAAAATCTATTTAAAAATATAGAGACTAATTATTTAGTTATTAAAACTAAAGAGATAAATTTTTTTTTTTGAAAAATAGAGAAACTAATTTATAATATACACTGCTCTTGTAACTAAAATTGTCAATTATGGATTTAAGGTTGAACAAAACTAAAATACTTATAGATAAGAAAATATATATTTTGAGGTTGATTTAATTTAAAAATGATAAATTTAGTTTCGATAAATATAAAAAATTAACTGATATCTTACTATATATATATATATATATATATAAACAATATTGTCTCTCGTATCTATTTTTGGAATAAAAGAGAGAGATAAGATCTTGAAACGGATTACCGGGTTGGGGTTAGGTTCAGTTCACGTAGGGTTCACGAGCCACTGCTCCATCCCTAAGTAGTAAATACGAACACTTTATAAGGCGTATTATTTTGCACTCGTTTCTTATCTCTGATTCTCTCAATGATAATAATAACTTATCTCGCTTTCAAAAATAACTGAAAAAAAGAACTAGAATCCTTATAATTCTCTTTCTGGTCATGAATCTTCATTGATTTTACAGACACGCACTTTCTGTTTGTTGATAAAACGCAGAGAAATTGGAAGAAGTTAAGGTAAAGTTTGGAACCTTTTGTTTTTTGAATTATGTTTTTCTTATGATTTTATATGTTTTCTCTTTTGATTGTATTATTGAACTGGGTTTTTTCTGTTTTTTAAGAGAGAGAGAAATACTGGTTTTGTTGATCTTTTCTTTTTGTTGTTTAATTCAATTTTTTTGGGCATGTTTTTGATTGGTTTCAATTGATCGTTTTGCCTTTGGTGCTTTTTGAAAATTGGCAGATCAGGGAAGTTTGTGTTTTTGTTGTGTGAATTGTTTTCCTTGGCTAGAATGCGTTTAAACTGGATTATGTTTTTGCTTGATGGGAATGTTGGGAATTTTTGTCTCTTTTTATCTGGGTTGATTTGTTAAGCTGCTGTATATGGTAAGTGAGGAGCCATGTACTCGAAACTTGGCTTTGTGTTTGTGAAGTGTCGGGAATTAGTGGTCGATAGGTTTTAGGATCGTTTAAATGCACTGCAGAAGAGAAAAAGTTATGAGTATCTAGAGTTACGAATTAGTGGTTTTTAGTGTTTGTTTGATGCCAAATTGTTACTTTTGAGCTTTGAGAAATAACGTAGTTTAACGGTAGTAATGGTTGAAATTTAAGATTTTTTCATGGTTCAAAATGTTTGGTCTTTGAGGTTTGAAGATATTGCTATATGCATGCAAGAGTAGGATGGTACAAATCACTGGAAAATATGGCTGAAAAACCTAGTTGATGCGTTGTTTGGTTCCGTTCATCAATCGTTTGTGCAGGTTTTTAAAACAGTTAATAAACTAAATCACGTGTATCATAATTGTTTCTCCTTAATTGGAAATAGTTAAATCATATGCAGGGGTTGCTCTCATTTTTTCTTCAGAAGACTTGAATGGTGTGTGTCCTATATGGTATTGCAACCTCTATACAAATGCATTGTAAAGAAATGATTATGATGGACAAGGAAGATGAGAAACAAAATCGTATGATTGGTTAGTTAGGTTTTTGTGGGTTTCTACGTTACCTGGGGCATGGCTCATAACATTACATTAACAACTTATGTAGATTTGTTTCATTATACAAGATCCTTCACCGGTTTAGATATTACATTAACAACTATTTGCTTTGTTCTGCATGATGCACCATTCAGATCTGAAGCAGCCTATGTAGGAATTAGATCACTAGTTGCATTGTGTTTGCACATTATAGTCAGCCATTTTGAATTTGATCTTTATAAAATAGGTCTTAATTGGTTATTCCTGGTTTAGGAAAACTGGAACCCTTGACCTCCTTATAACTATCTGGATTCTGTGACTCATTTGTAGAGTACTCATGCATCAGAAGCCCAAAATTGCAGATCCTTAACTTCTATTGCTAATGTTTTTAAAAAATTTGAGCTAACTGTATAGGAGTTTGTGTTAAAGAAAATAAATTATTCTCTAGCAAAAGTCAGGATGCAGCCTAGAAATGTCTTAGCCTAGATTTAACTCTTAATTTATGATGCATTTTGAACTGGATTTGCTTCTAGCAATACATTAACAATGTAACTTTAAACTGTTATAAAACATCCTTTTCCTCCGATTCCCCAGTTCTACATTAGCATCCTCTATTTTCAGTGATTTCTCTTTGTTTCTATTACATTGTTAGGGATGGGATTTGTTGCTATTGCACGGGGTTTGAATGTATTATGCAAATATAACGTGATCACCCTCTGATATGCATAATTTCCATCTTCAGTTGCTCTCTAATGGCTATGGCCTTTTTTTTTTCTTTTTGCATGTTTTTGACCTCATGTATCATTGGCAATGATTGAATAAGTATGAACTATTGGGAATGGCATCTGTGATCCTCAATATGGTGCTATGAGAAGGAAGGAAAGGATTTCATTTCATGTTAAAATTTCATCAAATTGCAATTTTCCTTCCGCTTCCTGTAATAGTAGCTGTAAAGGCACCTTTGGATCTGTGTCCCACAGAACTCATGTTGGTGAATTAAGGGTTCTAAGAGGGGGTTGATGCATATGGAAATGCTATCAGTCAGGGAATTGTTTTAGAAGGGACTGGGCTTGCTACTGTTGAGTAGCTGTGAACAGTAATCTGAGGTTACTGTATCAAGGGGGAAAAAGAAAAAAAAGGAAGAAAAATAAGAGAGCACTTACAGAAAGGAGAAAGAGTTACCCAAGGCCACAACCCTCAACTAAACGAAAAAACTCAATTCCATTATCAAACAATTACATAAAATAGGTGCTCGTTTTATAGGCACCAAAAGCCCTTTTATTTTAAACTGAATAGGAAATAGAAAACTCCTAATTAATAATGCAGATCCTAATAAACTATAATTCCAAAACTTGTGTTAAGATTTCTAAGTATGATGTATTGATAAGTAGCATCATGCTTCTTATTAACATTCTAGTTCCTAAAATAAACCGTTATTCTTGAATAGTATCAAGATAATACAAGATGTGTTTCTAAATAGCCTAAGTTCACAATGTAAAGAATTGAAAATTTTAATTGAATTAATTTATTGATCTCTTTTTTCTTGGCTGCCTCACGTTGTCTGCAGGGTTGATATTGGGATTGGGGGCGTGATTGCTTGGCGGCGATGGAAGAAGAAATTAACAATACAGAAGCTGAGAATTTGGCTGAAGCGTCCATGGAATTGCAGCCAACAGAGAATAACAATATGGAAACTGAGAATGCCACAGAAGCATTGCCTAAATCATTGTCTAAAACAAACAACGATGAAGATGGAAATCACACAACTAAAGGTCAATCATCCAGACACAGAACCCCTAAATCATTGAAGGCCAAATCTAAAGCTATAAAGAAACCTTCAGCCAGCAATTCTTTGAAGTCAAAGAATGCTGAAAGCAGTCCAAAAATTCAAGGAAAAAATAGAAAGAAGAAGAATCACTTACAAAGCAATGAAGAAAGGAGCAAAAATGAGCATGGTGATGCTGACAACCGAAATTCAAGTGAAAAGAACGTTTCTAACAAGGAGCACATTGAGAACAGCCAAGAGATTCGAAAGAACCAAGAAAGGTTTGTTGGGTCAAGAAAGGGTCAAAAGAATCAAAAGAGTGAAGAAAAGCGTGGTGGCTCAGATAAAAGCTGGAGGAATAAAAAGAACAAAGGGAAACTTGACGAGAAAGAAAAGAATGAACAATACGAGAAGAAAGAAAAGCTTGGTGGTATGATCTTTATGTGCAGTGCAAAGACAAAGCCAGATTGTTTCCGCTATCGGGTCATGGGTGTCACAATGAATAAAAAGGAACTCATATTGGGTGTGAAACCTGGACTGAAGCTTTTCCTGTATGATTTTGATCTTAAACTTATGTATGGTATCTATGAAGCATCCTCTTCTGGTGGAGTAAAATTGGAGCCCAAGGCTTTTGGTGGTTCCTTCCCAGTTCAGGTTTTGTTTAATTTTTAGGGCTGACTTCTCTGTTGTCGCATTACTGTTTTCTCATCAACTTTGCAAGATCTGCATGCTGATGCTTTTGAATTCCAGGTGCGGTTTGTTGTTCACAAAGACTGTTTTCCAATTACTGAGAGCGTTTTCAAGAAGGCTATAAAAGACAATTATAATGAGAAGAACAAGTTCAAAACAGAACTTACTGTTCGACAGGTAAAAATTGGTCAGTTAATCCGGTAGTTTGGGATGAATTCTTTTTTCTTTCCATAGTAAAATTGTTTACCTAATTCCTCCCTCTCTCTCTATATATGTGTGCGTGTGTGTTTGTGGATGAAATCAATTATATAATTTTCTCTCAGGTTCAGAAGCTCAGTGCACTTTTCCGACCAGCCAGAGTGCCTGTCCACTCTCCACCAACAGTAACTGTTCGGGATAGAGAAGTTTATGGGGGATCAAGAGAGTTGCAGGTCCATTCAGACAGGGAAGCATTTGCTAGAGCCAATCATGACGCTAGGAGTTATCCTGTGCGTGCTGATGAAAGGGATCAACGTGTTGAGTACCGGGAGGTGGGCTCTACACATAGAGATGAGATTCCACGTGATTTGTTCATGAGTGAAAAGGATTATCGAACGTATGGCCTTCCAGGGGAGAGAAGAAACCTGACTCCCTCTCATCATAATTCATCTACTCTAGACCCATACCAGAGAGGCCAGGAAAGGGAGCACCTCCTTAGACAGCCTGATCCTATATACAGAGACACAGTACCTTTGCAGAGAGAAGCTGTTCTGGCAGATCCTCTCTACTTGAATCAGGCATATAATCCTGGTGGTAGACGTGAATTGCTGCCAGCTACTACGATAACTGCAACTGCATCTGGCTCTGCTCTCACTGCTTTGGACCGATATACAAGGGACTCATATTATACTAACCATTATGGTGCTTCATCTGCAGATGCATATCTACCACCTCCAAGGAGAGACGAAGTTTCTTCAGGTTCCTACTATGTTGATGGTCGTAGAGAGACTTACCTATTTGATGCCGATCCCTTGCATAGGAGGGAAACTGTTCAAGAGGATAGATTACACTCACTGTATCCTGCCAATGCATTATCAAATTATAACCAGGTACTCCAATACCACGGAGCCAAGCCTGAAACTGCACCTCCACCAGTTTCATCTCTGTACTCCTTTGCTGGTCCATCTGTCTCCTATCGCTAATTTCCTGTGCAGATCTCATGTTTGCTGATTAGTTCTTTTCTTCAAGTACATGTGAATTAGAGTTGCTGCTTATAGACTGTTTAAAGTCTATGCACATAGCAGGCCCAGCATTTCTGCTCAGTTGCCCATGTTGATACTAGTTTAAATGACTCTTTCTTGACTGATCAATTTTTGTTATAGGCTCTTAAACTATCCCAGTTCTTGCATTATACAAGCAATTGTTGGCCGACTACTCGGCAAGCAGGTTGCAGTAATTTGCAAAGATTGAATTGAGCCATGGCCCAGGACAATTACCTGGCTAGCTAGGAGATATAACATTGCTTTTCTTAATATCAATAAAATCGTGGCGAGCCTGCTGCTAGAAGGAATAATAGTTTACTTTTTTTTTTTTTTTCATTTAATATTGGAGATCAATATTGGGGTTCTTTCAAGGGGGAATTGAAGTACTTCTTTATAGATGAACTATATAGTTATTGTTTGATTTTAAATGGGCACAACAATTTGGCTTTTAAAAAAAAATGCTTGTGTTCAATTTCATGTTTCCTAATTCCTCCTTTCCTTAAATAGATCATAGAAAGGGGGAAAAAAAAGAAAAAAAAAGTGAACCTTAGAATCTCATAAATCTGATTTTTTTTGCAAAATGAATTTGGTAAAAATATTTCGGTAAAATTAGCATTGCAAATAGAAAAATCCCAGCATGTTTCTTCTCTTTTTAATGGATATACGTAATCTTTTTCTCCGATTGTGGATTTTGCAAGATGCAAAATTCCCTAGAGGCTCCAAATAATATAAGATCAGCATGGGCTTGGACAAATGTATAGGCCCATATGATGAATTGGTCCCATATCCATAGTGGTGAAGTGCCTTGGGTCTGAAGGAGGTCAAGGTTTTGCTTGCTGGGTGCGTAGGTGCATCAACTCCTGAATGTCAAGGAAGGATCGTTTAGTCTGAGCATAGGCCTGGGTGCTTGGAACCAGCAGATTTTTGAACTTTCAACAAATAACTGTACTGGCGGTTTGGGAAGAGCTTGAAGAATTCCATTTCAAACTTTTATGTATCCAGTTGGAAAAATTGACTCATGTAAACTTCAGAGAAAAGGATACCATGAAGCATTTAGTTTGGTTGTACTCTTTCTTGATATCATAAAACTCCGAAAAGAGAAGAAAACGTTAGTGCTCTCTTGATTGGAAAATTATCAGAAATTTTATAATACTCAAGTATTAACTAGTTTATACATATAGTAGTTACTCTATAGATCCACTTTTAAAGAGAGATAAACGGATAAAAAATAAAATAAAAAGAATAACATTCGAATTCACAAAAAATGATAAGAAGATTTCTACCTTGTCTCAATTTTATTTTTAAATTTTCTCTTTTTTCTTTTCTTTTTGTATGTCTATCTTTTTCTATAGAGTAACTTTCATAAGTTATTTCTTGAGTATTGTAAAATTTTTCAAAAAATTACCTTTGATTTGGTGAGTAAATGGCAGGTTTTTCGGCTGAAAAAAAAAAAAAAACCTTGAAAACTAACAAAATTAGATGGCTCAAAGCCCTAGAGTGAGTTTTTTTGTTTGTGTAGGCATCCAATTGACGGAGAACCAAGGACAAGCTAATAGGTTGAACTCCCAATTTTTTTTTTCAAAGTATAAAGAACACCATTAAAGCTTGAGTGAAAGAAAAGAAAAGGATTAATTCTTATCTACTTAGGTCATGTTTGGTTCTTTACTATCCAATTAAATTAAGCATGAAACCGCAGGAAATTCATAGATAGCTAATGCTTGTCATGGTGTGAAATGTTACAAGGATGCATCTTGGACTTGTATGATATATTAGAAGTGTCAAACCTGTCTGACTTCAACAAAAAATTCACACTTTATGCTATTATAAATTCAATAACTTGAATGCCAAGGCAGGTTAATTTATGTATTTGATAAATTTAAGGGTTTCTATATCTTGACTAAACCACATTACTTATGTTTGATATTGATTGATTGATTGATTAACATCCTTTTCAAACTACATATTTGATCATTTTTACTAGAGATTTCAATGTTCATCTATTATCTTTAAGATATGATTAAAATAATAATAGTATAATCACACGTAATATGTTAGAAAAATGAAAAACATTTAATAATATGATTAAAGTATCAATGGTATAGCAAAATCAGACATCATGCATAACTCTATATGTTTTGATCTTAAACACTTATTTGTTTATCATTTGATTTATGTTCTATTAGCATTGTTTACTCTTCTTCCTACATTTCTCATTATGTATAGCTTATCTTATCGAATTAGTTGATTGTTCTTTTTATAAATTACAATATTAATTCTCTGTATTTTAATCGATCCACTAATCTATCTTTAACTTGTTCTCAAAACCGTTCACATGAACTTCTATATCAAATTACATAGCAGATAAACAAATTTGCAAGTAAAAGCATTATACTGCTTCCAAGGTTCGATATAAATGAACAATAGCGAGTATATTTACTAGTCAATTTCAACGTCATATTTGGTCATTTTATTCTACAATTTGGAGTGTCTGCTACTCTAAATGCTTGTCTTCTTCTAACAACTTGCCTGGACATATATATGTATAGCAAATATTCCATACTGTTGCGTATTTATGAAAAGTTTAGGCTCTTATCGTAATCTATATATATGTCATTGTCGTTTAATTTGCACATAGAGTGTCATAATGAATATCAATCTTGTTCATATATCATTAACACGGCATTAAGAGAGAGAAAGAAAAAGAAAAAAAATCAGAAAATGATGGTGTTTTGATTCTTATATAATTTAATTTCCACTTCTTTTCTCTTTCGTAATCTACACGTTTCCTTCATCAACTACGTAGCTGACACAAACTTCTTGTTCAACTAGACTTTTTCGTAGATTAACAAAATTGGGGATGAAATTTTTTTTGTGAACAACACTGTCTTCAATCGCTATAAGCTATTTAGTGACGAAAACCTAAGTTCTTATCCTCTCCTCTTTTTTGTGCGTTGACAATAAAACTGTCGTCTAGTGTCGATAAAGGCTTGGTTTATTACTTGCATACATGAGAGAGTGAAAATTGTGAAACTTCATTGCAAAATGCAAAAGGACTTTAAAAAGAAAAAAGAAAAAAATCAACTATTTTCTAGGAATTCGAGAAACGATTTTGGATCTAAAGTGTTATGTTAAATTATGAAGATCGAAGTAAATATAATTTGTAGTTTAATGTGTTATATAGAATTAGAATCAGCATGATGATGTCACTAACATGTTTTTATTTTATCTATCTTATGTTGTATAATTGTTTTTTTTTTTTTTTGGTTCTGTCTTCTTATTTTATTCGTTTTATAACATGTTTTTCTGTCCATTTTTAGCTGAGTGTTAACATATGATTTAATTAAGACGTGCAAGATTGTAGATGTAACGATACATTTAATCCTTTAATTAACAGCATACATATATTGTAGATGTTAAAAGTTATATTAGCATAATTTTAGTGTGATTTGTTTTTTATATAGTTAAGCTGAATTCATTATGAACAAAAAATATAAAATAAATTATCAAGAACTTAAATAAAATCATCATTACTGTCATTGTGTCTATTTATTTGTTATGCTTTGGTTAAAAGAGTTTCGTTAAACATAGCATTACTTTTCATGAGAAAAATCAGTACAACCATATTCGTAAACTCGGCAAGGAGTTTTGAGCTAAAGCTGAAAAACAATAGAGAAAAAAAAAAAAAAACTCGAGAAAAGAGAAACATTCCAATAGTACACCCAGTCTTGAGCTGAAGCTGCAGACCCAAAGGCTTTTTTTTAAAAAAAAAAAACAAACAAACAAAACCCACACACCAAACAAATTGACCTTGCAAAACTTTCAAAACAAGTTGTTAGGATTTCACTTCTACATTTACATATTTTTTGATAAAAGTATAACAAAAATGAGACTCGAAATTAAGAATTCATTTTTTATTTATTTATGCAAAAATCCTACTCTTTATTCTAAAAAGATTATTATTTTTATTTATATATGTTATAAAATATTTGTATGATCAAAACTTTAAATAATTTATATTTTTAAAATACCTTTGATTGATAAAAAAAATCATTTTTTCTTGTAATTCACCAAAAAAAAAAATCAATATTCTTTTTTTTTCCTTATGTATAAAAATACCTCTTTAACATAAAAGTTCGAAAAAAAAAACATTTTATTGCATGAAAAATATTCATTCATGTTGGGATTTTACTACATAATGAAATTTTAATAGTAAAATATTTTTATTAGTCTATTCCTTTTTCATAATTATTTTTAACTTGATCGTTAATTAACTTAATGATTTTATTTATTTATCATTTTAATTTTACATAGATTTTTTCTTAAATTAATATTAGTAATATGTAATGAAATATTATAATTTTAATAAAAAAATATATTTAAAAAATTAATATAATATAGTAACTAATAAATTTCTTAAAGCGTATGAAAAGTAAAAAAATAATTTATTGAGATATAAGGAGTAATCAAGGCTACAAGCCCATTAATGTTTGTCTCAAAACTTACGCGCCGTCAAAGTATACAAAATGCAAGTAGTCAAAAGCATTAATTTACTTCCAAGACTCAGTTCGAACAATAACGCGTCTATTGACTCTCTATTTCAATTTCAACATCATGTTATTTATTACTATATTATATAATAGGTTATTTGACTCCGTTTGTCTGGGAAAAACAATTTTAATGAAAAAATCAATTCTTTAAAAAGCTATTCTTCAATAAATTATTTTTTAAAAAATATTTTTTGCTGTGTGATAATTACATGAAAAAATATTAGAAAATATGTTACATCAACAAGTGTTGAAAAAACTTCAAAAAGACATATTTATAATTTCACAATATAAGATATATTTAGAAAAATTTAATGAATTTTCATAAATATTGGCTCTAAAATTTAAATTCGAAAAATATAATATACTTTTTAACCATCAAATCAGTTCATCAAA